CAAGAGGTGGAACTATTGCTGAAAATGCAAGCCAATGAGTAGGGATCGTTTTTGGCGATACACCCACGTAAGCAGTAGTGTGGAAGTCTCTAAAGCTCAAAGAGGCGTCAATTACAGGTAGAAGCTGTGACTCAACCTTTTTACCCGTTGAATCTTGGACAAAGATATCTTCATTGAAAACCTGTATCAAATATTAAAAACATGAGAGCCCCTACACTAAATTGGAACTTCTAAATGATGTAGACTAATGACAAAATTTTCATGCAATTCATCAGTTCTTGTAGGTATTATTCATATACAATAGAAATTGTCTCCAAAATTTTGCAACATACAGATAAAGGTTGAAAGGACTGAAAATACTCACGGGAATTCTTATTACATCCTCTCTCTTCCATCCCAAAGAATTATAGACAATGACCACCTACGTACATTACAAATTCAAATGTCAAGTCTTTGAATCAAACAAGTTTGACATGTGTACAAATGACAGAGAAAGATCATGAAAGCATTTCCCTCACCAAGTCTTTGCCATCTGATAGATCAACTTCTGACGCAGGACAATAACTAATATTTAGAAGTGGACACTGAAAGGATCGCCGGTTGGCCACGGAGAAGGAAAAAAAAATGAAATCAGTACATCTAACAAGGTTTCAGCAAGAGAGAAGATATAAGTTTCAATGGTGTAAAATAAAAGATGTGTTGAGGATGGTTGGTGGGGAGTCCCACATCTCCTGAGATGATCATGGGTTTATAGGTAAGGAATACATCTCCATTGGGTATTAGGCCTTTTGGGGAAACAAAAGCAAAGTCATGAGAGCTTATGCTCAAAGTGGACAATATTATACCATTGTGGAGGGTCGTGATTCCTAACATCGTATCAGAGTCATGCCCTTAACTTAGCTATGCTAATAGAATTCTAAAATATCGAACAAAAAAGTTGTGAGCCTCAAAGGTGTAGTAAAAAAGTGACTCAAGTGTCGAACAAAGGGTGTACTTTGTTCTAGGGCTCCAGAGAAAGGAGTCGAACCTCAATTAAGGGAAGGCTGTTTGAGGACTCCATAGGCCTCAGAAGAGGCTCTATGGTATACTTTGTTCAAGGGAAGGATTGTTGATGAGGAGTCCCACATCGGCTAATTAAAGAGATGATCATGGGTTTATAAGTAAGGAATACATCTCCATTGGTATGAAGCCTTTTGGGGAAACCAAAAGCAAAGTTATGAAAATTTATGTTCAAAGTGGACAATATCATACAAGTGTGGAGGATCGTGATTCATAACAAGATGTTCATGGAAGAAAGTTAAAAAGGATGCTGTTATGCTATAGTTGCAAAACCTATCTATTAAATACTAAAAATATACATCTTGCTCAACTTAACTACTCTTTTTATTTTTAAGTTGACTTTATTTTGGTATTTGGTCGATACAAACCCAAAGCATTTAGGCTGTGGGCTAATGCAGATAGAAAGTAAATACAGCTCAAAGTCGTAAAGATTGCCTGTTGAATTTTTGCCGCTGGAATCTGGCACTCGCCTGTGGAAGACAATTGTGATAAGCAGGCAAGCGATGTTGCAACTAATTTTTCTGCCTAAAAGCCGCATCATAGCAGGGAGTTCATTTGAGAATACAGAGGAACAAAAGCAACCACTATTATAGTTTGATGAGATATTTTTGCACATTACCTCCTTGTAACCAATTGAAAGTCTTTTTGCATAATCATTAGCCACATGTTGCTTCTCGGTTCCAGTGATTGCATCATGATGTTGAGCAAGTGCCAAAGCATCTGCTAAAGAATCTGTTTTAGGTCCTGATTTGCTCTTTCCTTTAAAGAATTCCAATTGCCGCGCAGCCTGTTTATGTTGTAGATGCAACTAATAAAGAAACAATGCATCCTTGGAAACCAGGTCCAGCATGGGAAAAGTTAAAAACAGATTAGTGTACCAAGTAGTAACTGCTCATCATTCTGACATAACCTTTAAGGGCAGGCCTACTAGTAAAATATCCAGTCCAGTAAGCATTGACCCTATCTGCATATCTGACCAACACAACATGTTAGGACGCCACAATAACACACTCGATCTAGATGAACACAAAAAATCTGAGAGAAAAAATGCAAGGAAGAATATTGGCTAGAGGTTTATATTGATGACTTCAAGTATGAAATACATACCATTTTTTTTGTAATTCCTATGATTCAATTGGAGCTTATCACTGGAAAAGAATTAATTTAGATAGTCCTTTGTGGCTGGCAACTAGATCGATGCATTATTGCTTTAAGAGAAGTCCCTATCAAAGTTCATTATGAATTTTTGGGTACCCATCATGAGATTTATGGGTACTATCTATAGTCAAAAGTATAAAAAAAGAAATTATTTGTATATACATTTGAACCACCGTGGGTCATATTTCTCTATCGAGAAATCGAAGAGGCTGTACAAGAATTTTTTTCGGGCCTGCTCATATGGTACGTAATCATCTGGTATCTATGCAAAAAGCACATTTTCAAAACACTGCCTAAGGAGTATGTCATCTATCATTTACCATATATAACTTTACTATGCATAACGGTTGGGTAAGCTATAAATATGCAGCAGGCTCCATGACCTAATACAACACACTTCATACCAAATAACCAAATTATTAATCTTGAACTTTGAAATTCCCAACTTACGGAAAATAGTCGTCGGTCTTGACAGGCCAGTATTCATCTGCTGCATATTTGGCATCAGTGTATATGGATGGCGTTGAGTACAAGGCATTCACACGCCCATCCTACAAGCATTATTTAGTATAATAACATCCTCATGATATGGGGAAAGTCAAGCACTTCAATCTGTCCCATAGGTGGCCAAAACTCAACATAAAGAAAATTGACACAGAATAAATCACTTCAAGGGAAGGGAGGGAGGGAGGCAGGGAATAGGATGCAATACTCAAATAAAATAGACAAGAAAATAGATGTGAGACGTGGTTTCTACATCATAATCCACGATCTTGATTTTCCGCTTACTGTCAATGTTAGGTAAAAGGATGTCATTCACAAGAAATAACATATCTAGTTGGACTTACTTGATTGACGTAATGAATAAACTTGTCCATTTGCCTGAACCATGTATGTGCGTATTGGTAATTGAAATCAGTTCCCATGGTCCACATAATATGGTTTGTGCGAGTAATGTTGGCCTGAAGGGAAAAAAAAAACGAGGAAATTTGTAATTCTGTAATGTCATTCGGAATCCGGGGGGCGGGGGGTCCATAATCAAAACTTTACGTACTTGTGCGATAGCAGCAGATACGAAGTCATTGATTCGGTCAGGAACGTTATAATCGAACAAGTCGATGTCATCCTTGAGAATCGGAAAAAATATAGTTACTACAAAATGACTTTAATTTAACACACGAATCAAACAGATATGATGATATATTACCTGGACCAAGGGGGATTCAGAATCCACTTCAAAGTAAAAATTACTGGAGGGAGGTTCGTAATTTTCGGGAAAGGCGCCCGTGAAGATCTGCGAGTTGAAGAGGGGAGAGATGAAATGCGAAGAAAGAAGGGGAAATGACTGGGATGGGGAAAAGAAGGAGAGTGACCTGTGCAGAAGAACCAAAAGTTTTGGAAGCTTGCCAGACAAGCTCGAGAGTTTTATCAACTTTCCGCTTAGCTCTATCTTGATAGTCGATTCTCGCAAAGAAAAGTGAGTCGAAGCCGAGCTAGGCGAAAAAAGAAAGTGAAAGAGAGACATGGAATTATTTGTAGCTGTTGTTGTAGAGAATGGACATACCTCAGCGCCAAGCAGGTAGGCTTGCACTGCAGAGTGTCCAAAGGGATCTATTTGCCAACCAATTCTGGGAGTTACGTTGAATTGTTGTTTGAGATATCGATGGCCCAGAGTTGTCTGGTCAATCATATCGATGTAATGTGCAGTAGCCTCGTCATGCATGCACATCCCTCCATTTCTGCAACAAACACACAAACTCACTTCCTGACTCAAAACACCAAACCAGTCTTCTGCGACTATGCATGCCAAATATTGTCTAAAAAAGTAATAATAATAACTTAATTCAATAGAACTGGGTAATTCAAAAGGAAAAATAACATAAAACTTAAAGGCAGGCAAGAGAAAATGTAAATATGATGGTGGGGGAAAAGAGACAGTACATGAACTCTAGTTGACCGGATTGGACAAGGTGGCGGACGGTGGTTTGGATGGAAGGGGTCTGGCGTCTCCACCAACGCTGGAAGAAGGCCTACGCGGAAGGATGCAATGTGAATAATTAGTGTCTTTCTTTCATATATATAATGAGTGATTTTGTATGAAGAAGGTAAGGAAGGAAAAAGGAGATGCCTGTTCGACATAGATGAACTTGCGGTTCTTGTCGGCCAACAATGCAGGGATTAAAGAATCGAGGACATTCTGAACGCAAGCTCCCTGGTAATTGTAAGTGTTAGTTTAGAAGGCAGAATGTAATTAATTGGAAAGAGGAGGCAGGTACCTGAATGGAATGGTTGGAACCCACGTAGTACTGATCCACGGTCTTCAACCATCCGACGTCGTCGTGGGAGTGAGGAACCAGGTGAACGTTGAGTTTTCCGGGGACAAGGCCGGCAGAGGTATTGTAGGCGAAGCAGGTGGGAGAGGGAAATGGAAGGATGGGTGAGAAGAGGTGGAAGAGGAAGGGGAGAAATAATAGTATCAGAGTCGGCATATGGATGGAGTAGGATCGACGGTCTCTGCGGAAGCGGTGTGATGGGTTTTCATTTTGAATGATCATATACTTGGGAGGCAGAGTAGATATTTTGATATATCATATTTGTTTGGTTCGAATGAATCCATGGACTTCAGGTTGGAGTCAATCAAGTGTGCATGCCATTCCCCTCCTGTCGTCTATCTACTTCTCCTTGGGCAGTAAATAAATAGAATATTAATGAGAATTATATTACAGAAATACCGGATGAGCCACCGTGGGCGTGGGACCCATGAGAATCGGGGGAGATAATCCGAAAAGATCTGTGTGGATTAGCTTGGCCCTGCGCCTTACCCACTCCCATCGCACCTCACAGGTAGTCGTCTCACATACTTCCTCTTCCCGCCACCGCCGCTCGGACGGAGCAGGGATACGGTAACCATGGCTCACTCCGCATTTCCATATCCCACACTCTGCTTCCACCCCGACTCTACCACAAATCCTCGATTCTTCCTGTCTCCACCCCCTCTCAAGCTTGTTAAATTTTCAAGAACGCCCAATGTTAATGCGCCTGCGCCTGCCCCACCACTCTCCGCCGTAGCTACCGAACTCCCCGTCGTCGACGGGGCAACAATTGCAGCGATCGGCGGCGGTTCGGTTGCCGCGCTCGCTGCCGTTCTATCTCTCACCGACCCGGAGAGACGTCGCCGCCTGCAGGCCGAAGAGGTGGGTGGTGGCGACAAGGATGTGGTGAAGGAATACTTCAACAATTCGGGGTTTCAGAGGTGGAAGAAAATATATGGAGAGACTGATGATGTGAACCGGGTGCAGCGAGACATTAGGTTGGGTCACTCCAAGACGGTGGAGAATGTGATGGGCATGTTGAAAGATGAGGGCCCACTCACAGGAGTAACAGTCTGCGATGCCGGCTGTGGAACCGGTAGCTTATCCATTCCGCTGGCCAAGGAAGGTGCCATCGTCTTCGCCAGTGATATTTCTGCTGCTATGGTCGCCGAGGCCCAAAACAAGGTGCGCACCGTTGCTTCCCCTACTTCCTTTCTCCTTCTACTGTAATTTATCTGTCCAGTGTTCTAAAATGCATCCGCACCCCTCTGTGTGTATGTGAAATTGAATGTGAGATATAGTTGCTTTCTGTGTTGGCCCAAAAAAAAAAAAAAAAAGGAAAAGAAATTGAACGTGGGATTAAACTGGCGCAGGCAAAAGAAGAGGTTGCGGGAGGCGTGGTGCCAAAATTTGAAGTGAAGGATTTGGAGAGCTTGGAAGGGAAGTATGATACGGTAGTATGTCTGGATGTTTTGATACACTATCCCCAGAACAAGGCAGACGGCATGATTGCGCACCTTGCATCCTTAGCTGAAAAGCGTTTGATCATAAGCTTTGCGCCCAAAACATTTTACTATGATCTGCTGAAGAGGGTGGGAGAGTTGTTCCCCGGACCTTCCAAGGCAACCAGGGCATATCTGCACTCGGAGGCAGACGTGGAGACCGCGTTGCGGAGGGTTGGCTGGAAAATTAGGAAGAGAGGTCTAGTCTCCACCCAGTTTTACTTTGCCACACTGGTTGAGGCAGTTCCTGCTTGACACGGACCTTCTTGCCTTGTATTTCAGTTTTGATTCTTCCTCTTCCTGTATTACTCCCCCACCCCTTGTTGTATCGTCGGAATGCTCCCAAAGACCCCGAGACCCCAAATGGATGTATCCAGATGAATTGGACTTTATATGAATTGTTTTTAGTTATTACAGTCTAGAGTCCTATGCTTAAGTTTCCCACGAGGGATTCTTTAAAGAACATGATAACAATGCAATGAAATCATCTTGTTGCTTCACAATGTTCTTAAATCTTAATGGTTGAATTAAGCTCCATGAGATTGCAGCTTGGGTTGGTTTCATTCTTACTGCATATGGGATGACTTGGTTGTAGCTTGAGTAGGTTCATTCTTTTGGATGCCGAATGGTTTGATTGTAGCTTCGGTCGGTTTCATTCTTAGTCGGTTCATTCATGTAGTTCGAAGAGGAACAAAATAGAAGCTAATAGACCTGTGATGTTCGAATAAAGAAAAAGAACATGAATGAACCGAGATTTTATTCAAATGAGAGTGATCCGAGGGGTATGATGGTTAAAAAATGTTTAAGAAAAGTTGATAGTTACTAAATATACTTATATTTCTTTTCGGTAACTCAATCCTAATAACTTAGAAGTTAAGTATGTTTGGTTTGGAGCAATCCTGTGTTACATAATCGCCTATGAATTTTTCTAAAACATATAAGCGATGCCAAAAGAACATGAACGACTAAGGAGTGAAAACATGTTAAAAGAACATTTAGTTTGTAGCGATAATAACAAAACATGGTACAACGTCCCGTGGTAGTCTACGAGATATTTTTTATGCGGTCATGTTGCTCTAGAATATTAGAGTGACAGAGGTATTAATTTAAATATATATATATATATTTTTCTCAACAGCAGAGGAGATGGCCTGAAGATACAGTATTTATGTTATGGGAGAGTAAAGGGTTTTGGGCGCAAAGCTTGTATCCCTATAGGGTATCATTTATTGGCACCCGGGAAACCATGCCTACTCTTCACGAGCATGGCACCCGGGAACCATGCCTACTCTTCAGGAACAAGCCACAAAGTTAAATATTGAATCAAGCCTCCCTTTTATTTCTCATGTCCATTGGTGATGTTTGAAGTCCACGTCGTGGTTGACCTGGGAATCCCAATTACTACACAGGAATAAGCCAAAAACCAAGTCCCCACCAAGCATTACCGATTAGCCTGTACCAACTTCTCATACTTTGAAAGCTGTGTTTATTGAAGTATAAAATAATTAGTTATTGATTATTAATTTATACTTTCCTTTTTCTTATATTTTCTGCTCACCTTTGGAGCTCCACTTGGAGTTGGACTTTGCAAGCACCTACCCTCACCTCCTCAACTTTCGCCTCCTACTTTTGGGCAATGGGCAACTGCTTTTCCGACGACGCCGTTGGCCGCTCTGCCGCCGGTGCCACTCCCTTCTCCCAAAATAATACTTCCAACACCGCCGTAGATTGTTTCTTGTTGTCTCGGGGCTACCGTGGCCTCTATTCCCAGATCGAGGTTCTCTTCCCCTTTCTGCTTACACCTACTTCTTTCAATTACTTCTGACTTCACCACAGCTTTTCCTTCACCCTTCCCTTTCTCTTCTGTTGCTATTCCCATGTGGGTTCTATTCTCTACTCGAGTATACATATTAAGTTTTGCACTATACGGATTCCGCCGATTCTTCTTCTGCATCGACCTTGTTTTTGCTTTTGCTCTCTCTCTCTGGACACCTACTCATGCTTGCTTCCTCTGTTGTTACTTGTTCTTAATTTCATCTAATTTACACCCATCTAACTCGTTTCATCCTCCTATTTCTTCTCCTTCTCTAATCGCAGCTCTCATTCTCTGCATCTAACTTGCGGGACCGTGATGTTTTCTCCCAGGTCGGTATCTCTTTCATGGACGTCGAAACACTATATATCTTGATAATGATTTTCATGTAAGATATAGGCTTTTGTTTCCTTGGAAGAATAACATTAATAAATTAGGCTTCCCTATACCTGTGTTTACAACGTTGCTGTAGTACTTCCATTGCTAGACTGAGTGAAAAGAGTCGCTGATCTACTACCATTTCTGGAGCTCTTTTTAGTGATTGAGAATATTTAATGCATATTTACTCGCTCGGAAGTCACATATTTCGCTAGTTTGGTTTACTTTGGATTTGTTAATGGTAGTGTCAATACCCGGCCATCTATTGATACCATTGTTTCCCCAAAAATCTCCTGTCGGAAATTTTATTTTCCTCAGAGTGATCCCATGGTGGTAATCTACACAAAAGGAAGAGACGGAAAACTAGAAGAGCTTGACCGCACAGAAGTAATTCAAAATTCATTAAACCCAAAATGGATCCATAAGCTAAAGATTACCTATCTATTTGAGGTTGTGCAAACTTTGGTGTAAGTTTATATGGTCATTTTGCTATCTCTACTTCATCAGGTGTATATCTTACTGCTGCTGCGATAATCAAGGCATTGATATCTTATCACAGGTTTTTTGTATATGACGTCGATACTCAATATCAAAATCTAGGAGTAAAGGTAGGCATCTATGAGAATTTTTATGGCTAAACATATGCTTGCCGAATTAAGTTAAATTTTGACTAGATATTTGTTATTAGCCACATAATAGTAGATCCAGTATTGCCAATACTCCCAAGACTGAAGGGTAATATGTGATATTTGATTCAGTTTTTTTTTGTTTTTCCCCTCATCTTCTTTCCCTTGCACCAGCTATTGTATTAATCTCTGGGGAAACTGGACATCTATCTTTAACCCAAAAACCAGAACTTGATTAATCTATTTTTATGTCAATATTATACTTTTTATAATCCTTATAGATTTGAAAGAAATTTGGAAAAGATTATTGTATCTCTTTGACTCTCTTTTTAATGAGGAATAAATATAAAACCTTTAGTTGCAATTTTGGAACTCTGGTTCATTTTTCTCCCCAGATTTGTTACTTATGTTCCTCGATGCCCAACGCCAATTGATCTCTATGTTTACGTGATGTCGGTTTTTATTCTAACAGATTTTTATAAAATCGCTGTAACTATTTATCTCGAGATTTAGTTAATGATGGAGAATCTAAATTATGCAGATGCTGAAGCTAGATGAACAGCAATATCTTGGTGAAGCAACTTGTGTACTATCTGAGGTATTGCATGGTTAAAATGCTATCATGTTGAGTATTTACTTGCACATGATTTGAGTGTTATATGCTGAATGTGGCTATTGAGTGCTTTCCGTCATAACTGTGCAAAGGGATATAATTTGTAATCTAAAGTTAATTATTTAGTTTGTGAATTCAGATTATGTTCATCACTAGCCTTTTCTATCTTACAGATAGTGACCAAATCAGAAAGGTCACTTACCTTGGATCTAGTTTATAGAGAAGAATCAACCAGCTCTACTCATACACACCACCGTGGAAAATTTACTGTTCATGCTGAGGAGTGTGTTAGCTCAAAGACCACCACAGAGATGATATTGAGGTGTTCAGACTTGGAACACAAGGATCTCTTCTCACGAATTGTATGCATTATTGAGATGTTAATTCATTTCCTTTTGGTATGTGTACAAGGAGTGTGAATTATGTTTGTTGCGTTTCTGATTCATGAAATAGGACCCTTTTCTGGTTATTTCAAAAACTGTTGAGAGTAAGAGCTCAATTCCAGTTTGCAAAACTGAAGTCATAAAGAATGATTTGAATCCCACATGGAAGCCCGTATTCTTGAATATGCAACAAGTTGGAAGCAAGGTACAACATACCCCTTTGGACACTCGAGAAATGAAC